ATTATATACCTCAGTGGTAGCAAGGCTTTCGGCACTGTCTCCCACAATATTCTTGCATTCGGGTTAGAATGTTATGATCTGGATGACAGGATAATTAGATGGGTCAAAGTCTAGCTGGATGATTGGCCTGGATGCATAGGCCAACAGGAGCCTTACGAAATTCAGCAAGGACAAATGTGTAATCCTGTACTGGCGAAGGGGTAACCCTTGCAGCAGTACAGGCTGGAGGCTGACTGAGTGGCTGGAATCAACTCTGCTGGAAGGAACTTGGGCATCTTGGCAGGCAGCAAGAAGAGCACAAGCCATTAGTGCTCCCTGGCAGCAAAGGGCCAAAAACATCTGGGGCTGTATTGATAGGAGCGTAGCTGGTCAAGTGAGGAAAGTGATTGCCCCCCTCTACTCCGCACTTGGAGTGACTGTGACCAGACCACATCTGGACCACTGTGCCCAATTTTGGGCCCCCTTAATACAGGAAAGATATTGGCCAACTGGAGCAAGTTGAGCTGGGGACTACAGAGGTGGTTGGGCTGGAGTGCAGGCCCTGTCAGCAGTGGCTGAGGGACCCTACTTTGAGAAAGAGGTCTGACTAGAGATTTGCTGATGTCCCTTCCAACCTGAATGATCCCGTGATTCTGGTAAAAGTCATTACTGAGATGTTTAGTTTTTATACCCATGTCTCAATTTAAAATCAAATTATTTTATCTAACAAATAAGTCTTTCTCCTTTACCCTAGTTTTTATTATTATCTTAGTAAAGATAAAGAAGACTATTTGCCAAAAATTACATTTTTACATACAGAATATTAAAACATGCAAGTCTTCTATTCATGGTGTGGAACTACATGTAAGAACTAGGTTTTGGTAAGATAATAGCATTAAAAAGGAAGGAAAAAACATTTTCTTTATGCCTAAAGCATCAGAAAGTATTAAAATAATGCTGGCACAAATCCATTATTGACAATACTTACCTCCAGTCTTAACAGAAATACTGAAAGATGTCTGATTATTTTCACTTTTATATCTAACATAGAGTGAAACATGCAGGAGATCACTGTTCAAATTTTAAAATCACGTGAAATCTCTTTGAAGTGTGTATGTCCAGTAAAAAGAAAGGACTGTAGAAAAGAGATACATATTGGACTGGATGAAAAAGAAGGTCTACAAGTGTGTGGCCATGACTTAACTACATAGTATGTCTGAGGCAGGTAAAAAGGTTTTCGAGGCAAAGATGCTTGGATTTGGGATGAGTTGCTGAGGTGAAAATAGACAGAATGATATCAGAAGAAAGGAGTAGGAGCAGAAGGGCATAGATAGAAGAACCAGTACTTGCTTGAGCATACTTTCTTTTCATGGAAGAGACAGTTTTAGCAGTCCCCTGCTATCAGCAGGTTGTCCTTTAATCTTATGGTATATTGTGCTATTTTTAGTTACCTGTTGCAATCCTGGTAATTATTAAGTGTAATTTTATAAAAATCATATACATGAACCTGTCTAAATTAGTTAAGTATTGAACTGGCCTTCCTTTCATTTCAGATAGTTCAACATACTCTCTATTCTTGCATGGTTTGGTTTTTTTTTTTTTTTTGTTTAGTGGTGCTGTGTTTTTCACTTACCACTGGAGGTTTATTTTTAACTTCTGAGTATTAAGTAGAAAGTCATGATATATTGCCAGTGTCTTTACTAATTTAACCATCAGCCATGTAATTAAAAGTAAATTGAAGTGAGATCTGTTTGAATTCAAGCTACTCAACTTCAAGTCATCAATGTTACAGAAATCAAGTGTGTTTGCCATTGGCACATGTCGATAAATTCAGTAGTCTGCTTTACAGCATGGCCCCACAAAAGAGTTGTTTTATCACAGCTGTCAAGAGAGCAAGTGACTGGAGCACTGTAGTGGTGCACTGTGTGGCTGCAGCCTTCCACTTACGGGCTTAGTAGTGATGCTTAAATAGCAGACTCCATTTGCTAACATGGCAAGATGCACCTATTCCTTTGTCAGTTAAACTTATTTCTCTATCCAGCCTGAAACTCAGGAATTGGTCATGAGTGAAGATCTAGAGATTAGTTATGAGAAACAAGAGATTCTCTTTTGGATCTGTGGTAGGTTCCTTCCCTCAAATTGTAATCTTAGTTGTACAGAAAATGAGTGCATCCCAGATAAATAGATAAGAAGAGTATCTTTAGGCTTAAAACTAAAGTTATAACAAAACTCCAGAAACTGAAAGCAGGTGCAAAAATGCTCATTGGTTAAAGCATTTACAACATCAGTCAATCTCTCAAAATCAGCCTTAACCAAGTTTCATATTAGAGTAGCTACTTGAGTGACTAAGAAAAGACACACAAATTTCAGGACCAAAAATCACAAAGACTACTTACACCACACAACCAATTTTATCAGTTCAAGTAGAGGTTGGGAGCCAGAGATTTGCAGAGATCAAATGATCTGCAAGAAGCTTCAGCCTGGAGCACTGAATGCCTCTAACTGTTTCATTCATTGCTTTACTTGTGGTTTTTTCATCTGAAGTAGAATTGATCCCAAGTTGCAAAATTTTGATAGTACATACAGCAAGTACTATATTTTGAGTATAGAGTTTGGATATCTTTTTCATTTTTAAGAGAAACCAAACAGTTAAACTTCCCTTTTGTATGATATCTGAATATGACAAGCAGAAGAAAAGATTTGCTTTTATATTCTAAAATTGTGAGCCTCTTTATTACATCTTATTCCTTCATTATGTACTTGTTCCTGTACAGAAACTCTTAAGTAAGAAGATATAGTGTCCTTTTCAAATATTTGGATCCACCTGTTTACTATTAATTTCATTCTCTGCCGTGATCATCCTGTTCCTGGAAGGGTGAAATACAGCTGGGATGATAGCAGTTGTGCTGTGTAGTACCAGATGCGTCAGGTTTGATTGCTGTTTGGCTAGAGACAATCATGTACATGGCTGACTGCATGTGATTAGAGCGAGTACCAACTTTTGAAGAGATAAATACCAGTTTCTACAAAAATTAAATAATTAGCTTTCACTTTTAATCTTTTTTGCTGTATCTATGATATAAGTGATGTCACACATTATATATTATGTATAATATATAAGTGATAAGTGCCAAAAGTCATTAGATTTATTTCTTCAATAACTTTTCTATAAGCAAATGTTTAAAAAAATCTTCTCAAATTAGAGTTTCTCCTTTGGCTTGTCTTGTTTTAAAATGTTGCAGTTTCTCAGAGTAGGAAGCAAACTACTTAGCATCTTATCTCAGAAACCTCTGTCTGAAAACTCAGGTTTATGGAAACAATGAAAAAACTATATGCATTTGTCATTTGTACATGTAACCTTTCCCCATTGCATTTGCTTCTTAAATATGCTTTTTACCATCCTGTTTTTTACAGCCAAACAAAATTCTGAGTCATTCCCTCTGCTGGCTTTGAAGAAGCAATCACTCAGCCTAGAACTGCTTTCTGCTTGCAGAGTCCTTCAGCTTTCAAAAAAGAAACTGAGTACCGTGAAAAAAAAAAAAAATATCTTTCACATGCATATGTATCTGTGATTCAAAGACATCAGCCTTCAGGCCCTATGGTTTTGGCAAAGACTGAAACTGAAAAGGCCAGTTTCCATGGGATGGTTATTTTTAATGTTGCACAGCATCTGATACTTTTAAGACCCTTTAAGCTTTGATTAAAGTCATGTTTTTGCTATCCTGTCTCATAGTGGTGGGTGGGATGTTCCTCCTGCTACACCGCTAGATGCCTTTAAAGCAATCTGGTTGTATACTCAGAGTTCCAACCTTATTGTAAACCTGTTTAGCACAAGGCTAGCTCTGGTCTGATGAGGCTTACCTCCCTTGACCCCCTGTCTAGGCTATGGTAGAAACAATTCGCAGCCTACTACTAACAAAGAATATAGTGATACAACGCAGTGATTCAGGTTTGTGTGGTAACGCTATGTAACAACTTGCTTACCTCCCTCACTTGCAGCCACTCGTTCCCACAATTTGACTAGCACAACTGTGTGCGTGGCTGCTGTTTATCTGAACCAGCAGAATGACCAGGTTTAAGTTTCTAAATACACTTTTTTTATTTCTATAAAGTGCTAACAAGCTTTATATTGAATCAGGCTTGGGAGAAGTGTTTTGCCAGTAACAGGCTGGCACTTACTTTAATGAAGTTTTATTTTTAAAGACTGGGGATGTAAAACAATGTTGGTGACAGATTTTGAAGGTGCCAATGTGACCTACGTGCTGGAATCCAGTTCAGTTCCCATGTTCCTTCTGCATCTACCCACCAAAACTCTCTGCAGCTTCTAAACCCACAACCAGACATGTTGTTACTGGCCCAGCAAACTGTTCTATACCCTCATTGGATCTGTGTACTGTTGAGTACACAAAAAAACCTTTTTAAAATTATAAGTGTAAAATTTTGCTTTTCTGGAGTCTGCCGTTAGCAAACAGGCACTTTACGTACTTACTTACAAGCAAAGTAATTAAAGCTTCACTTCTGTTTACTTCTGAAAGTTGCATACTTAATGTGTTATGTTTATTATTTCCATTTCCTTTCTATTTAGACAAGCAATCTGTGAAGTAATCACTAGGCCAATCAAATATGCTGTGTAGGGCTGACTTGATGGGCTGAATTGGATACTGCAAGAGGTCAAAGTTTATAGCAAGAGACTGTTCCCTGATCTGGCTGAGGAGGTTAACTGCAGTTTTCTAGCATTTGCAGGCATTGTGACTTCTTGTTAGGGTTAAAGCCTGAACTAAGAACCTTAGTTGGCCAGCTTTTCTTCAGCACTGTGTTAAATAAGATCTCACTTCTCTTCTAGGTGGAATAACGGTGTGCCAGAACAGGGTCATCATTTATGATCTCAGTTTAGAAAGAAGGAGGAAACTTTTGCTTTTTTATAGTGTAAAATGAATGCATGATAGATAAAATAAGTTTGCAGGACTTACTCACATGAAGTTGTATGAGAGTTTCTTAATGTCCTTTTTCTTTCTTTGCAGCTATTGGCTGACAAACAAGGTCCACATTAAACGACCCAGCACTGGTCTCCTCATGTATACGCTTGCCACCAGATTTTGTGATGAAATTCACCTGTATGGATTTTGGCCATTCCCAAAGGATTTACATGGAAAACCAGTCAAGTATCATTATTATGATGATCTGAAGTATCGGTACTTTTCTAATGCCAGTCCTCATAGGATGCCATTAGAGTTTAAAACGTTGTATGTGTTACATAACAGAGGAGCACTTAAATTAACAACAGGGAAATGCATACAGCAATAAAGCACATGTAAAGTACAGTAAGAAGTACAGAATACACACTTCATCATACAGATGTTGTGGAATGGCAATGGGATCCCAGTGAGGATATGTTTCAATACCCACTAAGCCCTCGGAAAAAGAAATTTTATCAGAAGTACATAACCAGCTATTATACCTGTAAAGTGCTATATAACTAAGCTATCTTGACTGCAAGGGTTCAAGTAAGTGCCACTTTCACTAAGAACAAAGCTTGAATGTATACTCAGTAGTGTTCACAGGATCCAGTGACACATTCATCATGAATTAAAGAAGAAAAATATAGCCTGCTTACTGCTGACTTCCCACTGTGGTCAGACAGCCCACAGAAGAAATCCCTAGTGGATGGAATATTTTCTTGAGCAAATAAACCAGGCTTTGGCAGAAAACATCATGATGGAATCGAGTAGAGAAAGTGAAGTCCATAAGATCAAACAAATCAGTAAATGCCTTCAGTCAGAGGACTGTTTCTGATCTTGTATTATAACCTCAGCTTTTGTTGCTCTTTTTCTTATTGCTGTTGGTTGGGTTTTGTTGCTTTTGAGTATTGGAGTCCTTAAAGGATTTTGAGGTTGTTATGAATAATTAAAAGTGTATATCTTACAGCATTGTCTTAGGAAAAATTTTCATAAGGGTGGGAGGGTGGAGGGAAACATCAAATATTTCATCAATTGTTATTGTGTTGTATCCGTATCCTGCTGTCACACAATCCTTCACGTTCCAATTGTTTTTCTAGCTACCGCTATCAATACCCACTACATGGAACCACTCAGAGGTCATTTTAATCCATTTTTAAAGAAAAGTTTTTCTGTTGCGTTCAGATTTGAACACATACAAGAAGGTGCCCTTATTTTTGGTACCAAAGATTACTCTTATACATATTTTCTCCTTTCCTTGAAGAAATGGTGTAGATTTAGTATGTTTCTTTGTTGCTGAAGGGAACATATTCTTTATGTTATTTAAATTTTTGAATTAAGCATTTCAAAGCAAAGCCTCTTTACTGACTTTGCATATAGAATTTCATTCTTCAGAAAAATCTGCAGGAGTAAAGGAATTATTTCATACATTCAAATATATATATACACAATTTTTATTCCTGATTGAAAGTAAAACACAAAGTCTAAAGGAACTCAGGTGACATTGGAACACGTCTAAAGCAAAAAAAAGACATAGCCAATTAAATGGAAAATAAAAGAACTGTAGATCAAACAGTTCTTTTAAAACTTAAATTTCTGATGTTGTTGGATGATATTTCTAATATACCTCTTTTGTATCAGCTTGATGTTCTAATATGTAATTGACTGAAATAACACAGAGCTGAAATAACACATTATCTCACAGTGATTTTTCTGAGCATCAGTTTAGTTTATCGATGAAACCAAGAATTCTTTCACTCTCTTCTTTCAAAAAAGAACAAGAAATTACAGGAGGGTAGGGCAGGGTGGAGTGTCAGTACAGCATATACTCAGATACAAAACCTGCCTGCATATGATATGTTTTAGCGCTAATGGAGCAGGTAAATGAACAACACCATGGTTCCACCATTTTCATGTCAGGCTAGGCTAAAGAGGAGGCATGCAGATACAATGTATGGGTATTTTCTTGTTATGTTTTCAGCTTTACGTTAGGTCCTCATCTCCAAATATGATACTCGGTGTATCTATTGAATTTTGAACTAGCTTGAGCAATTTCATATATAGCAGAACACTCACAAACATTTACTAGCTAAAAGTGCCATTTATTAACCCGTTTTTCCTCTTAAGTTCACATGTATCTCATCGTGCGTGACTAGAGGTGTGTGATTATGCAAATTTAGTAGCTAAATCACTGCCTTGCGGACAGTTTTGCCAAAAGTTGATGGGAAACAGAAAGTCATTCTGCTATATCTAAGACAGAGTAGCATCTTTCCTTATTCACCAGTCTCTCCTACCCAGGACACTTTACTTTGGCTATATGCTAAGGTGTGGGATGTGATCCTAACGTGATCACCACTGAAACTAAAGCATCGCAAGGAACTAAACAGCAATACAGACTGGAATGTGTTTAATTTGTTGTTGATAAGCCAGAGGGTGTTATGTGTACATTGTGTAAACTTGCAGTTTAAGACAAGGTTATTTCCTTGATGCAAGGTGGGCGTATTCCTGTTCTTTCTGTTAGGGTTTTGCTGCTGTTGATCTTTTAAAACATATTTCATATACATTGACAGAATTTCTATTGAGATAACTAATTCACAGGTGCCAGTCTCACAGAAGCTCAGAGAAGCATCTGTTTAGCTTTATCTTTTCTTCTGGGAATGTCTTTTCTTCTTCTCTCTAGTGTCAGGCCATCAACAAAAAGGGAATTCAAGTAGACTAAAATATTAACTGACAGGTGATTTTTTTCACCTCAGGGAAGGTTTTAATACACCAATTGATTATTTCTCTGAGAGCAAAGTAGATGGAGACACTCTAATTCCTATGGTAGTAAAAAAAAAAAAATTACTTGTGTAGTTGTATAAGTGAAAACAATGAGATGTAAATAGGAAGATAGATGAGAAAGTTTGTCTTTAAAGTCAGCACATGAAGAAAAATTTGGCCTGAGCCTGTTTTGCAAGCTTCATACTTGATTCTCTGTGAGTGAAGTTAACTTTAGTACACAAGCCATGGAGTCCAAATTTTTACCCTATCACTAAATCTGATAGAACAGGGCAAGGTTTCTCTGACTTGATTTGGCACAAGACATGACAGTAGCACCTACTTCCAAGACAACAGAGTTTGCCCATACCTTTTCAAAACTGGGCCTTAATCTCGTCTCCTGCAGGCTTTCCACTTTCAATACTGCACGCTTCTGGCACCATGGCTCTCTACCACCATCCACACTCATCCTTCTCATAGCACCCTCCCCTCAAACTGCCACCCAGGTGTGTCTCTCTCTACCAGAAGCATAGGACTCCTCACTAACCCATCTCCTGTCTCACCTGCCTCAGGTTTATCCTAAGCTGAAGTGTAATGTAGTGAGTGGTAGGTTTCAAACCATCCTCTGAGGCAAATAGCAGTTGTAGTCTTTGACTGTGCAGGTTTTCACAAGCACTAGGAGTCATTTTGCTCTATTGCTTTTGTATAAGGTCTGTGTCTATGTGGAGCCCAAAGCTTCTGGGGCTCCCTGGCATGCAGTTTGTTGTGCTGCAAATTGTCTGTTTTGAGGTGGTTTGTGACCACCAGTAACTGGTTACTCTAGGGTGACCTGAGGTGGGACATGCCCAGAGATTTTCCTCTTAGCTTACATGGCCTTTGTTGTTAGCCCTCTCACTGCTGGGAAGCTGCAGCAGTGGATTCATTGCAGACATCCTTTCTTACCTTTCCCTTATACCTCCTGGCTCTGTATTGCCCTGGGGCTCTTTGTGCATTTCTGTTGAGGCATCCCAGGTCGTGAATGAAGAAACAGATTACTTCCACTGTGTGACTGTTTATCCCTATAGGTGACCTGGGGCACAGCCCCAAAGGCTTAGCTGCTGTATAGGGGCTTGACAGTGGAATAAATTTCACTCTGTGGTCCTTCACTGGGCAGCAGTCAACAGCTCAAGCCTCCATAGCTGCCTTGGTTGATTTCTGTTGTTTATATACATTCACACCTCCTGTGCTGCCTACAGCACAGATCAGATAAACAGGCTTTATTATAATTACCACTTTTATCATCCAACACAATCAACAACTAATACGAAGTAGATAGATAGGATAAAAAGAAGGATCCTTAATATTGTAATGATATCTGCCCTGGTGAGGAACAACTGAGGAACACCCATCAGTTGAGTGTACCTCAGATTTATCCTCACATCAGTCATATCAATTGCCAGCTATGGTTCCTAAATGTATGTTAAAAATAAGAACTGGGAGCTACATCAAGACAGCAGACAGTGTATACTTTTCTGACTCTTATGGCAGCTTTACAGTGAACAACTTTTTTTCATTCAGATAAATTTATTGTAAATTGTTTATTAATGTACATGTTAATGTTTCTGTGGCAGAGTCCTTCATATTTCATAAAAAGTAATAGATAAATATATTTGATTGTTAAGTTTTCAGCTTTGGGACAGTTCTCTTTCCCACAGCTCTGAGCCACTCTCTAGATATAAGATCTACTGAACCTTTGAAACCTGATGTGTAACGAAGACTGTACCATTCTTTTCTTAAACAATATAATCAACATATGCTTGAGGTCAGCACCTTTTCTCTAATTGACTGCAATTTGAAGAAAAACAAGTGTGGGTTCAGTACCTTTTTTTATTGTTTTATCTAGCAAAGTGCTGAGCACTCTTTACAGTGACTTTCCTGGGAGAGATGTGTCCAGGATTTAGATGGGGATCTAGATTAGCATATTTCAGGATATAACTCTGAAATTGCACATTATTTATTTTTAAGAGCACTGTTACTTTGTGTAGGGAAAAGCACAATTGTTCTAAATGTAGATAAAATAAAGGAAGAGCGTTTACAGAGAGCTTCATTCCTGCACAGTATTATTGCTACTGAGCGTATGTAATAATTTCTGTGGTTTAAAGTATTGATATGTATTCTGTCAGGATTGTCATGTTTGACACTGTTAATATTAGTTCAAGTACAGCTATGGGGATTGTTTTTTATTTGTATAACTGTAAAATAAAGAAGTTTTTTTCATTTTTTCTGCTATATTCTGTTCCATATTCCTTTGTAACACAGTTGTGATAAAATTTTTCAATTATGTGCTAATTGTAAGGATATGTGGAAGGAGAGTGTCTGCTCCTTTAAGGTGTCTGGTCAAGGACTTTCTCAACACAAAAGGGGATATTAAGAAAAGGAGGAAGCCATAAACAAAAACACAGAAAGACACAAACCTGACCGACAAATGATAAGGGAGGCAGCAATGAGAACCAAAACTGATCAGTCGCACTAACTGGTAAGGATATGTGGAGTGTAGGAATGTTTATTCCAGTAAGATTATCTGATCGAGGACCTTGTCAAATGGGATACTAAGGAAAAGGGGGAAGCAATAAAGTATATGGAGACACAAACCTGACAGGCAAATCATAATGGAGACAAAGACAAGAAGCCAACCCCATCAGTCACACTAACTGAACAGCTATCAAGAAACTGCAGGCAAACGGGACTTTGCGGCTGATAAGGATGCAGAACTGAGGGTCCGGGATGTTGGAGGGGAGTCAATGGGACTGTGCAAAACTCATGAGGCAATGTGCAGGGGAGGAAGAAAAGAGGAACAGACAGAAAAGGGGCCGCTCGCGTGTAAACTGTGGCTGGTCAGTAGGCTTGTCTGGCTGAGCCCTGGGCCTGATTGCCACAGTCTGTCCTAACTCCCCATTAAATCTTTTCTTAACTACCTCTCTGCGTAATCTCACTTTCTATCCCATGTGTGTGAATGCTGCAAGGACTCGGTGCCAGCTGCTGGGGGACCACTGTGAGAGGACTGGGTGCCAGGTGCTGGAGTCAGACTGGGGATGTGGGCACCCCTGGCCTGTGGTGTCAGCTACTGGAGCAAGTCGGGGAGTCTCAGTGGCTCGTTACAACTGCCTGAAAGGAGGTTGTAGCGAGGTGGGTGTTGGCCTCTTTTCCCAAGTAACAAGCGATAGGATGAGAGGAAACGGCCTCAAGTTGCACCAGGGGAGGTTTAGATTGGATATTAAGAAAAATTTCTTCACC